TACCTTGTAAGGCAGGTCTGGAGGGCCTTGGCATTTCCAACCAACGAGACGTGCACTCTTTCTCTTTCCACCTTTGCAACGCACGCCGTGTGGTGCAAAGGATGCAGTATTACTTCTGACACCAGAACTGTGGTAGAAAATTACCATGTGTGTTTGTTTTTCTTTCTCCCACCCCACCCAAAGAGATTTAGTCATAGTGCTGGAAATCGAAAGAGATTTTTTTAAGGCTTGGCTGTTCCTGCGTCTTTATGAAGAGAAAAGCTCCCACGTGGTGTTTAGAGGACAGGACACTATCAGATACTGTCTGTATCTCCATTTTTCTCAAGCTATAGGTGTGTTTCTGATGACCAGTGGTCACGAATTCATTGGAAACCCAAGCTATTTTTAAAGAAAAGCATTGTATGGTTTTTATCTAGCTCTGGTCAGTTATCCATCTTCTGTAACAGGGATCTGATATTCGACCTTGTCACTAGAATTTCAAGAAGTGAAAATCAACAGCCTTGAATTATATTTCCTTTTTTTTTTTGTTTGTTTGTTTGTTTCATTTTGGTTTCGTTTTTTTTTTAATTATTTTTTTAGCAGTAACAAAAGTAATTTAACAAAAATAAAATCAGAAAGTAGTCTATTGACGTTGTGTACTCGGTAGTCCTGTCCCTGCCTGTAACAGATTTCACTGATGTATTTTTTAATACAGAAAACTATGTGAAAAGTAAACCTGCCCCTGATTCTGTCCGATCAAAGCCCATCTGTGTCTGTCATTTCTGATCCAATGCTGCTTTCTCCACGTCCTGGCCTTGCTCTCCTGGGGGAGATGTTTTGGCTGTAGTTCGTGCCCGGGCACTCAGAGGCTCTGGGATGCTCCTGACAGCTGTTTCCTTCTTCTGTGAACTCTGCCCTGGCCCTCCCCATAGGTACATTACATAGGGCACTGTATTTCAGATTGGGATGGTTGATAGAACGTCAGGGAAAACGAAATTGTTCTGGAAGGATGAACTCTGCCCTGGCCCTCCCCACAGTTACATTACATAGGGAGATGGCAGGCACTGTATTTCAGGTTGGGATGGTTGATAGAACGTTCAGGGAAAACGAAATTGTTCTGGAAGGATCAGTGTATAGGTCTGTAGGGGGATAAAAGGAGCCAGAGCTGTGTCTGTTGCACATGGGTGTGCCCAGAACCTCAGTGCTGGCAGGAGAAGGGCAGGATCTGGGAATTTCTGTGTTTCCTGGCCCCCCCTTGCAGAAGCACAGCTGCCTGTGCCTGCTCCCTCCTGCCCTGCCCACCCCTGGGAGTCAGCAGGGGCCTGTTAGGAGTCAGTCAGGAGCAGCTGTTGGGAGGGCTGGCTTCCGTTGGGTGGGGTTTCTCTCAAAAATAATACCATGTCTGAGTTTTCCCTTAGTAGACATTAAAAAAACAATATTCCCCTAGAATAAAATAGTTTATGTATATCATATGAGGAATGTACTCCTTTCTCTGAAGACCTCACTCTTCTCTGTGAACACCTGCACAATTTTTTCCAGGTACTTGGAATGAAAGATATTTGCCTTTCATAATCTCTCAGCAAGGAAAGTTAAATCATGTTAAACTTCTCTGCCTGAAAGCAAAGTTGTTAAACATCATCTTTTAAACCAGCTCTACTTGGTGGCTCTGAGAAGAGAAAGGTTTCAGTGCAGTTTGATGGTAATCATTAATGCAACAAATAGTTTCAGTTTCTCCAGTCAGATACCTCCTGCTTGGACACCCTTTGTCAACACCATGCACTGGCCAGGGTGTCCCTGGGCTGCCTTCACCCCCTGCATTCCTCATCAGCCCGGCTGAAGTTCATGTGGGTTTACAAAATGCATTATCCATTGAAGGATTAAAATATATTTATAGATTATGCACCCAGGATCAAAGTTCCAAGCACTTAAAGTTGTTTATAATAAACGCATTGGAGTCATTTGCTCATTGTGCAACAACCTTTATTACTTGGAATGTTCTTTTAAGGAAAGAATATCATGCTATAGTCTCAGTGTGGAGAGAGAAACAACCAAGATGAGTGTGAGGAAGAAAAGTAGCAGGGGATGCTCCCTGCTCACAGGTTCCTGTGGCTGTGCTGTCCCACTTCTAGACACATGCTGTTCACCCCATGCTCCCTGTGCAGGGTGGGTGCTGTAGCTCCGCAGACCCCCCTGAGAGTTTGTACTTGTCACCCAGGGGGCTCACAGTCCTGGCTGCTAACCCAAGTCTTTGGATGTTGCAGAGATTTTTGTGTCAAAGGCTCTGGAATGTGGCGTTACCTCCATGGCACTGGTGGTTCCCTGGTGGTTCTGGCTGTGAGAGGCACTTGGTGCAAACCTGCTGCTCTCTCCTGCCTTGGCTGGCTAAAGGAGGAAGCTGGGGGCACATGGAATGCCACAGAATTAGGTGCAAAAATAAGTTATCTTGGGAATTATTCTGCCAACTACTGATGTAAGCCCCTCGGATTTCTCTGCCAGCAGTCTCCAGCCAAGGAATGGCTCCTCAGAGACGTGGAATAGGCTGGCAGCAGTCGCTCAGCCCAGGTTTCCCCAGGGTGTGCTCCCACAAGGGTGAGGCTCAGCTGGGGCAGGCTCAGGGCAGGGACTCTGAACGTGCAATGCAGTCTGTGTCTCCTGGTGACAATCTCAGTAACTCTCCTCAGTCCCTTCAGCAATCGTTTCACTGTGGCATTAAAAAAGGGAAAATGGAAGAAATGCTTGTGTATAAAATCTGGACAGTGCTCTTCCCAAATCACCAGCACCCTGCTCGGTGTCTGGGCTGGAGTTTTGCTCCCATCAGCACAACAGGTCCTCCCTCTTTTCCCTTCACATCATCCATTTGAAACGTTCCTGACAGGGCAGAGGCAAAATTGAGATTTACTGTCTTCTGTTAGCTGCTCATCTGCAGAATGTCCCCTGTAGCATCATCACCCTTACAAGAGTTAAAGGAGTAACGAGTTTTCAGCAGTTGAGCTACTGAGCAGTTGTTGTTCCTTTCTTTTGCAAGGGAAACCATTGAGTTTTGACAATGGTGGAGTACGAGTCCCAAAAATGTCAAAAAATCATGGGCTGTTGCTGGGGAGAAAGTCTAGAGGAGGTTTCAGGCACGGTGAAGGTGGATGGGAGCATCCTCTGCCTCTTAGAGCTGCAGGTCTTGCCTCGTGGAGTTTGGTGTGAGTGGAGCCAGCGTCAGCCACCGCTTCTCCTCTCCTCATCCTCAGCAGAGGAGCTGGCAAGAGCAGTCCCTGCTCAGTCACCTCCTTTCTTGTCTTCCTGTGGTCAGCTCTTGGGAGAAATCTCCTTCCCCAGCATGACAGCTGCAGATTTGTTGGGCAGGTAGGACTTTTATGTCTTCCCCAGAAGGAAGCTTGGCTTGAATAGGGAATAGTGGTTTTGCACAGTGTTATTGAATTTATTAAGGAGTTGACTCCAACCCTTTTTGTTTTTTTTTTTTTTTAGAAGGTGGATATTTTAAACTAAAGAGGAAATTACTCACTTAGTCTGACCACTGGCATGAACAGATCCCCTCTGACTTCATCCCCTAGCTCCTACTTCAAGCCCACAGCACCTGCCTGAGCTGTAAGATCTTGCATTTCTCTCTTCAGTTTCCTCCCCTTACCATTTCCAAGAAGCATTCAACAACTCCTTTCATGTTATGCTTTGTGAGGAAACTGTTTTGGACGTGCCAGGAAGAACAAGTACTAATGGAGGAGGTGGTGGCAGGGGAGCTGTTGTGGGGTGCCTGGAAAAGTGCTTTGGGCAGGTGGGCGATTGAACATGGCAAGAAACTAATATTGAAGTGTCTGTGTTTGATCATTTTATATTCAATAATCACCAATAAAGCATCAATATTCCATCAATTGATGCTGCTGCCATAGAGTGCTAGCCCTGGTCCAGGGAGTGTTGCAGAGTTGTAGAATGGTTTTGGGAGTCATAAAGGATCAAAAGAACTTTGGCATCTTGGATTCTTCCAGCCACAGACCTTACACCTCCCTTGGACATCACAGTCACTAAGACAAAGGTGTTCCAGCAGAGATACAGTTTTTATTAGAGAAACAAACCCTGAAACAGACTATCCCCTGCTTGGAGGGGTCCAGGGAGTGTTGCAGAGTTGTAGAATGGTTTTGGGAGTCATAAAGGATCAAAAGAACTTTGGCATCTTGGATTCTTCCAGCCACAGACCTTACACCTCCCTTGGACATCACAGTCACTAAGACAAAGGTGTTCCAGCAGAGATACAGTTTTTATTAGAGAAACAAACCCTGAAACAGACTATCCCCTGCTTGGAGGGAAAGAGCTGGTCCAGGTTCCTGGGGTTCAGGCTCAGACACAGGCTGCAGTAGCCACAGCTTGGTTAGTTTGTGGTTCATGGTTAACTATTAGATATGCCAA